AAAGATTTGTGGCTTTCTTTTCAAAATCTTTATTAGTACGTGTGTTTATTGGGTTGGGTTATCTCATTATTCAACTTCATCCTTAAACTAAATCTTATTTATAGTTGAGTCAAGTATCACTCAATCTTAATTAACTCATTTTTATATAGATTTAGTATCGGTTTTGTAGAGTTGAGTTAAGCTTAAAGTTCACTTCTTAACATGGTATTAGAGTCAGGTTAGAATCTATCCTAACGATGTTTATTGGACATATTTTTCTACCCGCTATCGGGTCGTTATCAGACCACATATGTCTAGCTTCACGATATATACTCGACATAAGGGTATGTTGGAAGTCTCACATCAATTAGAAATAAAGTCAATTTATAATATATAAACGAGTACAAAACTTCTTACAAACCAGTTCGTAGAGTTGAGTTAGGTTTAAAGTCCACTTCTTAGGTTAACATTATTGACATGAGATTAACATGAATCATAAATTGTGTTTTGAAGCCTAAGCTATGCATGGTTTTACAGGTAATGACAAATGGAATATATAGGAGCAGGATGCATCGAGCAGTGGTTAACTCTGAGAAAGAGAGAGTCTCCATAGCTACATTCTATGGTCCAGGGTGGAGTGATAGCATAGGTCCAGCACCAACTCTTGTCACTCCACAAACACCACCTTTGTTCAAAACAATTGGGGTTGCAGATTTCTACAAGGGATACCTTTCACCCCAGCATTTTGGCAAACCTAAATCATATATAAATAATGTTCTCAAGATCCAAAATCACCTAACTCCTACTTAGATTCAATTTCCTTCTTTCATTCAGGGAAACATACTTAAATACAAGATATGGATTGAAGTAGATACAAGTAGTTGTTATGTGATAGGAAGTTAGAATCTTATATGCCAAGAATATTGGAACTAAGAAGAGTTATTAAATGTTTCTTGTGAGACCTACCATCCTTAATTTATGCATGGACAATTTTCTTCATAAAAAATTATAAAAATAATTAAATTAACATTCTGTAAATTAAAATTAGTTTACATACAAGTTATTTTTAAAAGTGTTTCATTTGCTGCTGTAAAAATATTCACCTTTTACTTTTAAGCCAAAAGAGAGTTTAGAACAACTTAACTATAGTAGAAAGAGGGCATTAAAGAACTCTAGAGAAAGAAATTTGAAAAAGTACTATAAACTTTGACTAATTATTGGATCTAATAATTTTATTTACTCTTTTCCTCTCTAATACTTTTTTTCATTCTATTGATAGAAAAGTATTTTGAAAAGTAAAATAAGGTGATATAGATATATAGAATTTTAAGGGAAGAGTAAAATGCAAATTTTCTTATGGATGAAAATTTAAAAATAAAAGTTGATGATTTATAATGAATATAATTTTTTACCCATGATATAGTAAAAAGTTACTAACAGGTTAAAATCGTCTATAACTCAAATAATCTTTTACCCATGTAGTACTATAATTTGGTTTTAGTGATAGAACAATTGAACAGTTACAGAGAGATATAGAATGAATAAAAAGGAAATTTACTCGATTAAAACAAAAGAAACACGCCCAGTGGGACTCGAACCCACAATCGCTTGATTAGAAGTCAAGCGCCTTATCCATTAGGCCATGGGCGCTTTGTTGTAAAGTTGTGTACTTAGTTAATATATAAACCAAAAGTTAAAATTATCTATATCTAATATGTCTTTTGTTTTTTAAACTAAATGATAAAATAATTTAAGTAAGATTTTTTAAGTTTTGTGTTGCTACATATATAGAATAATAGAAGAAAACAATAAAATAGAATTTGATAAGTTGTTTTTAGTTTAGTGTTTAATATGAGTTGTGAAAAGTTAGGCGTTAAGTGATATTTTTGTGCAAGAGGTTTTGGGTTGAATGTGAGTTTATATGTTAGTTTTGTTTCTTTTTTTTAGATGTTTGGTGTTGATTTGTATCATCATTAATTATGCTTATGAGTAACATAATTGTATGTATGAAGATGGGGATATTTATTATGATTTTGTGTGGTATTGTTATTGAAAGAATTTCAAGGAGAAATTCTATTTGATGTTGATCTTTAATGTATGCTTTGACATATGACAGTTCAGAAAGAAGGTATCGTGATATACTATCAACCATCCAACTCATATAGTTATTAATATGGATAATTTTATTAATATTTTATATGACTTTTATCTGGATTGCATAAGATTTATAATGTTTTATTCAATAGTTATATATTATCAAATGAGATGTTACAAAATTATCATTTTACGACACTACATATGAAGAAAGTATAAGTATTTATGTAATAGATGAATATCTCGATATTTATAATATGATTCTAGACTAGGATATTTATAGATTAAAATTATACAAAATGTATGTTTTTATAATAGAGAACTATGATTATAAAGATATATATATATATATATATATATATATATATATATATATATATATCCTTTAAAAGAATATTCCTAATTTTTAATTAAATAACAAATACAAATATTTATATAATAGTTTAAGTGTTACAATCATTATATAAAAAATGCATTAGTTATAAAATTGATAACGGTGAAGGCTATTCAGTTTAAATGGAGTTGTTTGATGGAAACACTTCCAAAAGTTGATATATTACAGATCAAGAAGATATTGGGTTAGATAAATATTTTTTTTCCTTTCCCTTATTTCAACCATTAAAAAGATAATCAAAATATGTACATTTCAAAAAAATATCATGATAAAAATAAAAATATAATTAATATGAAAGTAAATATTATATTATGTGATAGAAACATATGCTAACCATCATCACTTAAAAAATATTGTTAATTTTTTTTTGGAAAAACGTAATTAACTTATACCCATTTTTTATTTTATTAATTTGACTGATTTTATTAATTTCTCATTTTCAAATCTTCAACTTGTGGAAGAAAATGGTTGGCAGCACTCAACAACGTTGGACAAGATTTTTGTGATTGAAACGTAAGCACAAACTTGTCAAACTAGAAAACTGTAGTTTATTTACGTTGTTTAACTTTCTGTTCAACAACTTGTACGATTAATAAGCGTTGTACTCCTTTTTTAATTATTATATAATATAATAACATAAATTTATATTTTTGTTGTTGCTTTTAATAAGAAAAAAAATTGTGCTTAAATATGGCAGATGTCATTCCTTACAACAACGAAAATAATTAATGAAAACAGATATTGACAAGGAAGAGTATGCTCCAAAATTAGTTGTTCACAAATAATAATTTATTTTTTAAAATAAGATTAGTGTAATTTATCATGATTATTTATTCTGCCTTGTTTATCACTTCAAGAATACAATATGAGAAATTTGTTCTTTTCTGTCATAGCACACCCAAGTAATGGAATAGAAGGTTTATTTCTCATAATAAGAATAAATATTAATTACCAAATTTTATGTTTAGCACTAATACTGACTATTAAATTTTTAAATTTATAGTGAATTTTTTTTATAAAGGTTTTGATAAAGGAAAAGAAAAACTAAACAAACCAGTCATGACGGACACAAAAATGTAAATTTCTCTGTCACTAATATTATATTTTATTATAATATATGTTTTATCAATTGCTTTCTTTTATTAAAATCCTTCCTTTCATGATTTTATAAACATTTTTAATCAAAATAAATAATGTACGATTGAATTCTATACATTATAATCTACTATTGAACACGTAGCTAGTAACGTAGAAAATCATTAGTGTTATTTTATCCAATTAAATTCTATATTTCTCTATATACAAAGAATTCTCCCGTCTACATTTATTTTCCAATTTTATATTTTAAATGAAAAAAAATTAAATTAAAATAATTATTTTATTAATTTTATCTTTTAAATGACTGTTTCTTTAAATTTAATTACTTTTTTCTAATTTGATTGGTTTCTTTTAACTTAATATTTTTAAATTAAAAATTTCTTACAAAATAAATGAAAACTATTCACATTTATTTATAATTATAATAATAAAAACAGTAATAATTTTAAAGAAAAATAAAACGCACATGTATTTTCACTTATATAATTAAATACGTTAATATTTGACTATTATCACGCTTAAGAAAAGTATTATCATAATTCAACAAATCAACTACATTTAAAGTAACACCTTGACGAGTTAACTAACGCAGTATGATTTACAAGTTTTTTTTATTAGAGATTTTAATTACTTAGATAATGTCATAAACATTAATAGAGGTTACTTAAAACGGTTGGTCGAACTTTTATTTAAAACATGAGAAAACAAAAAATAAACTAGAAATAGAGATAAGAAAAGAGAAAACAGAAAGATTTACATTATTATTTAAATTATATTCCAACTTAAGATATTTTATTATTACAAATTAATAAAAGGCATTTTTTTTCCAGCTATATATATGACATAAATTTGAAGCCACGTGATTGGAACACAGCGTAGAAAATGCGTTTCTTCCGCAAATGTTCCCATGGCTGCGCCTGAAAACAAGCCACCCCAGCTAAGCCATTTGCAGAAGAATTCATAATCACAATAATACATTTTCTACCCTTTTATTTGCCATGAATCCCTAATTTCATTATTATTCTCATAATTAAATTTGGGGTCAACGGATCATAGCTAAGCCTAAACTGTCCTTTCAATAAATAAAACAAAATTACCCTAATTCCATTTTTCTTCATCACATATACACAATTTGAATTTCTTGATTTCAGTTCTTTAATTAATCTTGAGAATGATCAAACGTGTGTAATTTTAATTAAAATCAATTAATACTGCATAAAAAATTATCTATTTCATATTTTTCATTTGATTCTCTTGTTATTATTTTCCAACTCACAAGGTTAAGTATGAAGTCAACCCATTAGGTTAAAAGTCATCGCAATACTTAAAGACAAAAAGAAAGTGTTACTAATTTTTTAAAAGAAATGGCTAATAATGTGTAATATATATATATATATATATAGCTACATCGACACATATATTTGGCATCATTCTCTTGTCTTGAGAGAGAGAAGGGAACATTCAGTATAGCCTTATGGAAGCAGAAATAGCAGAGATTGGATCAAACCCTTCTGTAAAAGAACTAGCAAAGGAGGCACTGAGCAAAGTTCCAGAGAGATATGTTCTTCCAAATATTGACCCTCCAATTTTATTTAACACACACTCTCTGTCTGATCAGATCCCTGTCATTGACCTAGCTAAGTTGTTCTTGCCTCAAGAACTCAAGCCTCCTGAACTGGAGAACCTACACCTTGCATGCAAACAATGGGGTTTCTTTCAGGTTCCTATCTCAATATTATCTCTCTTTTCCTTCTTCTCTTCTTATAATCATATTAAACCTAATATGCCATCATTATCAATGTCAATTTACTCCCTTTTATTCACTGTAATTACACCAAGACACTGCTCAACAGTAATATGCATGTGCTTCTGAGTTGTTTAAGAACCACAATATCAATGTCAATTTACTTCCTTTTAATTCAGCATAGCCTTATTTCTTTGCTCAATGGTTATTTTCTTACTGAATGATCGACCGTCAGAAAAGAGTAATATAAAGATTTTGAAGGTGTAAGAGGGAGAACTGTTCGTTAATAATATATATATGCACGTAGAAGATTATAAAAGTTTTGATAATTGTGATGTTGTAAAACAGGTTATTAATCATGGAATTGACATGGAAGTGGTGGAAGATGTAAAGAGAGGAGCTGAAGAACTGTTCAATCTTTCAATGGAAGATAAGAAAAAGCTTTGGCAAAGAGAGGGAGATATGGAGGGATTTGGGCAAATGATTTCCAAGCCTAAAGATGAACCGTCGGATGTGGGTGGATGCTTCTCATTTTAACTCTTCCATCTACTTAAGGGAAGCCCCCCACTATTTCCTAATCTACCCCTACCTTTCAGTCCTCTTTAATATATTTTTCTACTTTCTTAATCACTAAATTTTTAGGATGTTTTTCTCATTAAAAAGTCAATTTGTTATATATAAAGAAAAAAAAATGAAAGGGTAAAATACATAGATGTAAAAATGTATATGGAAAATTTGTTAAGTGCCAAATAATAGTGATCCAAATGAAAAATACAGTGATGCTTGTTATCAGAATACAATTGGTGGACCATGATTTTAGTGTATTGAACTTAACACATAAAATGTAGTGTATGAGTTGATCTCTTTGAAAATAACATTGATAAGATAAAGCTGAACATTGCAGGGAGAATTTAGAGGTGTATTGCAAGGAGATGAGAGAGCTTGCCATGAAGTTGTATGGTGTTATTGGAGAAGCACTTGATATAGGAGGAAAGGAAATGAAAGAGTCAATAGGGGAAGCAGGACAAGCAATAAGGATAAATTACTATCCTCCATGTCCCCAACCAGAAAATGTTCTTGGCCTAAAATCTCACACTGATGCTTCTGCACTCACCATCCTTCTCCAGGGCAATGAAGTTGAAGGCCTCCAACTCAAAAAAGATGGAACATGGCTTCCTGTTCATCCCCTCCCAAATGCTTTCATGGTTTTTATTGGAGATGTTTTGGAGGTAAGTCATTCAAATTTACACTACACATACCTTTCATCCATCATTCTGCACCAAAACTAAACTATTAGGCAATATACATTAGTTTAATTTATTTTACAAAAGTAATTTATAAAGTAAGGATTCCTCACTTACATACTATCAATTTCCTAACCTTATTTAGTGTGATCGATGTATGCATGTTAGTTGAATTCTTGATACAATATATTGAAAATACGTATTACACGTCAACTAAAGATAAAGTTAATTCATAATATAAATTGAATGTAAACATCACTTTACAAACAGTTTTGTAAGATTAAGATGAGTTTAAAATCACTTCTTAAACATGGTATCAGAATAATGTGGTAAGAGTTCTATCTTAATAAAATTTAAGGTTTATAAACTTATTGTTTCACCTGCAAACAACTCCGATCAATTCATAATATAAAACAAATACAAATCTCATTTTACTAGCCGATTTTATAAAGTTGAGTTAGATTTAAAATTTACATCTTTAACACAAAGTATATGCATGGTAATTAAATCGTGATACACATTGTTAAAGTTTATGTCGACTAGAGTAAGTTTTCAATCTAAATTAAAATGAAAAGTAAATTTTACTTTACAAATGGTTATGCTAAAGGTTTTAAATCGGGTTTAAATCAACTTTTTAATATGGTATTAAAGTTATTGTTATGTATAATCATATTCTAGCGAAATTAATATTTGTTGGACCTATTATTTCATCGCTATCGATCAATCGATTAATTCAGTAATATAAAATGAATGCAAACCTGTTTACAAATCAAATTTTGAATCTGAGTTAAACTTAAAATTTACGTCTTACCACAAAATGTATAAAAAAGTTATTATTTGTATTTTAAATTGTTGTGAATTAAGACTAATAAAGATTCATAAACTTGAAAATTCTTTATAATTTTATTGCCTTTACTATGTGTATATGGTTTAACAGGTGGTGACAAACGGGATATATAAGAGCATCGAGCATCGAGCAGTGGTTAACTCTGAGAAAGAGAGAGTCTCCATAGCTACATTCTATGGTCCAGGGTGGAGTGATAGCATAGGTCCAGCACCAACTCTTGTCACTCCACAAACACCACCTTTGTTCAAAACAATTGGGGTTGCAGATTTCTACAAGGGATACCTTTCACCCCAGCATTTTGGCAAACCTAAATCATATATAAATAATGTTCTCAAGATCCAAAATCACCTAACTCCTACTTAGATTCAATTTCCTTCTTTCATTCAGGGAAACATACTTAAATACAAGATATGGATTGAAGTAGATACAAGTAGTTGTTATGTGATAGGAAGTTAGAATCTTATATGCCAAGAATATTGGAACTAAGAAGAGTTATTAAATGTTTCTTGTGAGACCTACCATCCTTAATTTATGCATGGACAATTTTCTTCATAAAAAATTATAAAAAAAATTAAATTAACATTCTGTAAATTAAAATTAGTTTACATACAAGTTATTTTTAAAAGTGTTTCATTTGCTGCTGTAAAAATATTCACCTTTTACTTTTAAGCAAAAAAGAGTTTAGAACAACTTGACTAGTAGAAAGAGGCCACTAAAGAACTCTAGAGAAAGAAATTTGAAAAAGTACTATAAACTTTGACTAATTATTGGATCTAATAATTTTATTTACTCTTTTCCTCTCTAATACTTTTTTTCATTCTATTGATAGAAAAGTATTTTGAAAAGTAAAATAAGGTGATATAGATATATAGAATTTTAAGGGAAGAGTAAAATGCAAATTTTCTTATGGATGAAAATTTAAAAATAAAAGTTGATGATTTATAATGAATATAATTTTTTACCCATGATATAGTAAAAAGTTACTAACAGGTTAAAATCGTCTATAACTCAAATAATATTTTACCCATGTAGTACTATAATTTGGTTTTAGTGATAGAACAATTGAACAGTTACAGAGAGATATAGAAGATGAATAAAAAGGAAATTTACTCGATTAAAAAACACAAAAGAAACACGCCCAGTGGGACTCGAACCCACAATCGCTTGATTAGAAGTCAAGCGCCTTATCCATTAGGCCATGGGCGCTTTGTTGTAAAGTTGTGTACTTAGTTAATATATAAACCAAAAGTTAAAATAATCTATATCTAATATGTCTTTTTTTTTTAAACTAAATGATAAAATAATTTAAGTAAGATTTTTTAAGTTTTGTGTTGCTACATATATAGAATAATAGAAGAAAACAATAAAATAGAATTTGATAAGTTGTTTTTAGTTTAGTGTTTAATATGAGTTGTGAAAAGTTAGGCGTTAAGTGATATTTTTGTGCAAGAGGTTTCGGGTTGAATGTGAGTCTATATACTAGTTTCATTTCTTCTTTTTAGATGTTTGGTATTGATTTGTATCATCATTGGTTATGCTTATGAGTAACATAATTATATGTATGAAGATGGGGATATTTATTATGATTTTATGTGGTATTGTTATTGAAAGAATTTCAAGGAGAAATTCTATTTGATGTTGATCTTTAATGTATGCTTTGACATATGAAAGTTCAGAAAGAAGGTATCGTGATATACTATCAACCATTCAACTCATATAGAAAGGAATGAGTTGGAGGAGAGAATGATAGAAGTTCTTAATCCTAGATTTTTGGTCTTAGAAGTGAAGAGACTAACCTTGTGAGTGGTATGTGATAACCCCTGTATTTATGACTCTACAAAGGATAAATAGTACTACAAGTGCACACCTACAATGAAGCCATGTGTCAATGACATGTATCTAGATAATTGAGTTTAGAGTCAATTGTTATGTATGTTTTTATTAGTTAGTAGTTTATAAATGTTGAACATGTATTTGATATGATTTAATCGTCTTATTATGTTTCTTTTGCATACTGGCTTACCATGTCTTTGTCTTTGTTGTTTTGTTATTACTATTACAATAATCATCTCACGATGTGAGTAGATGACGAATTAGGTGATGATATGTCTTTAGTGGAAAGTGATGATGTAATGGATTTGTTTAATTTTAGCGAGCTACTTGTATAGGAGTTTCTTTTCTTTTGAAAAATTTATGTAGTGTCTAATGTTTAGTACATATAGTATGTTATTATAGTTATTAATATGGATAATTCTATTAATATTTTATATGACTTTTATCTGGGTTGTATAAGATTTATAATGTTTTATTCAATAGTTATATATTATCAAATGAGATGTTACAAAATTATCATTTTACGACACTACCTATGAAAGGTAAGAACCATTGTGAGTATAAGTATTTATATAATGGATTAATATCTCGATATTTATAATATGACTCTAGGATATTTATTGACTAAAATTATACAAAATGTATGTTTTTATAATAGAGAACGAATTATTATATATATATATATATATATATATATATATATTCTTTAAAAGAATATTCCTAATTTTTAATTAAATAACAA